CTTTAGGAACATCGAATCACGACGGAATCTAGCTTGAATACTTGCTTGAGTGTACTTTTGGTTGTAGTTTCAGTACCACACTGGTTGTAACAGATACCTGAAGCAGCAATTCTTTAATTGGCATAATTGGTCTTTTTATTTTGGGAAATTTGAAAGCAGTGGATTTTTCAAGAATGAATAAGACCTTTCGTTTTCAAGCCTTTCTTTTGGCAGTTCAGTTTGCAGTATAAGTTTTTAATTTTGACCAAATAATTCCTTGATATTTCCCGGTTTTTAGGTAAATTTATACAATTCAGTTTACGAAAGCATAACTTCTATATACTCGTACACTTAGCAAAAAAAAATAAGGAAGCAGGAACATTTTTAAATTTTTTAGTGATTTTTGAAAGGATGTAACTTTGTGAATAATGGTAGTATTGAGAAAAAAGAAAAGCTTCTTGTAACTTGAAGATTCTAGTTTTGAAATCTTGAGATGAATAACTTTTTGAACATCACTCGACACAATCGAAAGAGAGGCAAAAATTTTATAATTTTTTTTCAAAACTGCCCATAGGCTCAGAAAAATAAGTTTTTTCTGGCTTAATCAATGCCAGAGTCATTTAGCTTGATTCCTTAGTTTCAATACGATTTCTTTTATTTTCTGTACTATTTTTTCTCATTGAGTGAAAAGTCACCTTTTTTTATCATTAACTAATGATGGTACAGCGAACGGAAGGCTGGTTTTGGAAACTTGAATCAATCGTCTTCAAGGAACTTTTGGTATGTTTGAGAAAAAAAATTGTTTTATACTCAGTATTAATTCGAAAAAGTGCAAAAGAATGACTTTTTCTGCTGTTTTGAAAAATCAACGACTACTTTGCAAATATTGCGAAAAGTACCAATGTTTGTTGTTTTTTTTTTCACTCAATACATACCCATGAGGTCTGTAAATTTTGGAATTGATCAATAGAACTGTTTTCCTTTCCTGAATCGTCAAAATTTTATAAAAAATTACAGGAGCAGGTTTATTGCTCTTTAAATATCAATTTAAGATGAAAAAAAAATGTGCGTTATTTTTCTCACAAATTCACGTTAAATACTCGTCAAAAATAGAAAAAAATTCAACATCTTGAAAAATAAATCAAATATTTCAAAAATTATGTAATGGCTGTTATTAAATTTGCATGAAATAGGGACATTTTTATTTATGGTTAAAAAGACTTTTTCTTCTAATATTTTTTTAATATAAGTTCTAGAGAAAAAAACACAATTTATTGTTTAACGAGTTCAATTTAAAAATAAAGACTAAAAAAAATAATTGAAAGAAAAACATATTTTTTTTAATATTGACAAGTTAGATATGGAAATTTAAATACATAACTGAAAACAATTAGAATTTAGCCAAAAAATCCCAATGCTTTAAAAAATGTGTTATTTTTAATGATTAAAATTAAGTGTTTCTAAATTTCACAGTATATTTAGTTTAAGTTTACTCAAGCACACAAATATTATTATAAACATATTTTGTTTTCTAAAATCTTATAAAAAATTTTCCCACATAGTGTCAACTTTTAAACAGATTTTATATTATAATTATACAGGGTGAACCAAATTTGATTGTTACTACAAGGATCTCACTAATTATTAAAGAAATTACAACATTCTATTGAAAAATGAAAAAAAAATATTTCCTTTTTGATTTTTATTAAAAGAAAAATGCTCTTTTTTAAATTTATCTGTAACTTTTTTAGTGTGACTGAAGAAATTCTTGATCCATTCTGATATAAAATTTTTTATTAGCAGTTTTGAGAAAATAACTTAATTGTTTCGTAAGGATGTCATATTCGACTTTATTCAAAAAAATAATTATTGTTAGTGCAATATGGTTCGAGAATTGTTTCAGTTGGACTGCGAATAACGGAGTTGCAGCAAATTTTTAAAAGAGAATTTTTTTCTGAACAAAATCCAAATTAATAGGAATTGAATTGCTGCAGAGCTACTCTTGTTTTTGTATGCATACGAAAGTGAGTTTTTCGATTTTCACTATGTCTGTCGTTCAGCAAAGAATTTGCATTAAATTTTATTTGCGGAATGAATATTCTGCCGCGGAAACGTTGAGGATGTTACAGAAGGAGAGGATGTTTTTGGACAACAGGATATTTGGTAGTACGTTGATAGGGCATTACTTTGATCATTTAATTTTTTTGTATACATATCTAATATATATGAAAATTCTCTGATATTTCCTTGAAATTCCCTGATAATTCTTTATAAATTACAGTTCGTCTCGGATAAATACAGTGTTTTTATAGAATTTATAGCCACCTCTAATTCAGATGTAGACCATCTGGTCATTGCAACTATGTTCTGCATTACACAGTAACAGTACACTACGATGTATACCTTGATACATTCAAATTGGCTTTATTCCATGTTGCACCCAAGTTTTACCGCTTACACCTCATATCGCTTACGCCTAATCTGCAGATAAATACAATTACAAAGGTGTTAACTACCGCAATCCCAGCAACAACCTCATCGGTAATTAATGCGATATTATCAAAGCTAATTAGTTTGTCGTACTTACTCCCCGTCAAATAATTTTATATTGTTGCTTATCGGGAGAGCTACGAGTGCTGCTTTACTTAATTTACGACTTGTACGATTTATTAGTTGACACGTGAGATTTATTAGAACCAGATACTGTATAATTAATCGACTTGTGGTGATAAATTTGTTATAGGAAGTGATTTTTTTAGCAACACTGCATTTCTACATTGTATTTGGCTGCAAAGGAAGCAAAAAATCATTGTTATCCGACTTATTCTGATCGTGTACACTAATACGTCTGAACCTGTGTTGCTGTGAACTTACCTGTGTTTTTTGTGCAAGCAAAGTAACTAAAAATCATACAACATCCACTTTTTTAACGTGGTATGTTTATTCAATTACCTCAGTCGTTTTTAGGCGGTTCCTCGACTCTCTTCTATTGTGCCCCGTAATTCTTTAATATGTAGACGAGAAAAAACCGTCGCGGTTTTATTGAACCGTCAAGTTTTGCGCAAAAAATAATTAAAAATTAGTCCGGAGCGCATCAAAAACCCAGATCGTTTAAACAACCTTAATTTTTTACCGCCCGCCGAGATTGCCAAGTCAGGGACTGAAATTGTGTTTCGAATTTCGAAAATGAAGCGGAACGGAACCGGCAGAGGCGTCCTGGAAAGAACCAAGCACTGTTTTATTTACTAGAATCCAAGGAATGAGCTGTTAAATTAATGTACTTCTTTTAATTTGCAAAATTGCTGTGGTTTTATGTCAAGATTATAGATTTTATACAACTGTCAAACAAGTGCTACAACAAATCATTTCTCCAGAGAAATATATTTTTTTATCCTCCAATATTGAATAGAATTCAGATAGACTGCATTTATTGTAATCGCAATATCTTCATAAAAGTTTAAAATTTGCAATAGAAAATCTGTTAAACCTCTGTAAATGTAAAATGGAACTTTCTACTACAATCAAAATTAATAACCAACAACTAAAATCGCTCCTATTTGTCGGAACTGCCAAAACCGTCCGCAAACATCTCATCAGACTTTTTCAATTTTTTAAACTTCTTAATTAATTTTTTGCTTCGAAATTTAATTATACCCGCATGGGAATTTCTGCGCGGTCTCCAGATATCGCAAAACTCGCCTAGACTGGAAACAGCATAGCAAAAACTCTTCAGCCTTTTTTATATTCTGCGAAAAAGGAAAGACCAAATTAGCCATACCGTTACCGATCGCGATATTTTTTACCCACCGTTCTTATTGTACCTCCTGAAGGGAACTAAAATTAACGATGTATACGGTTCGCAATTTTTCATTGGTCGGGACCACCACGAAACCCATAATTATGCTATTGCCATTAAAACCACGGGTAGGTATAATTAAACTTGTGTATTGTTAAATATAGTTCATTTGAGCTTTACAATTCTTGTCGAAAATAATAATATTTTCAAATAACGCAAAAATTATTCTTCAAATAAGCGTGATCGGGGAAGTGAATATGTAATATAGATTTTTGAAAGGATGTTAATATAACTTGGGAATATTGTTAACTGGTCGAAAGTTTCTCACTAAGACATCTCAACACGTCTTTTCTCACTAAGACATCTCAACACGTTCAGAAAATGTGCATTCTATGTTTTCCTCCTACTCCTAACTTGTAACTTGCTGTACGCCAGATTTATAGTCTTTCCTTTACATTTGATATTACAAGTAACAAGGAAATCTAAAGTCAATTTATTCAGTCTATCCAGCTGTAAGCTACGTATAGACATCAGTTACATTCACCGTAGTTCATTCCTCATTGATTTTTTACAGTCTCTTTTTCCTACAGGGCGGAACTAAAATCTTCTCTTTATGAGATATTTGTACTATAATCACATTTAAATATATGCTAATGCAATGATTGTACTTAAGGCTAAGTCATCGTATAAAATTTGGTGAAAATATCGCTTCGTGCAAAGGATAAGTGAACAAAATTTCCGGTTAGTCACCGTAATGTATGACTTCCAAGAATGTGTTGAAACTAAGTGCATAAAATGACACAAACGTTTAAAAAAATATTTACATTGGACTTTGTAGTCGGCAGTGAAGTTTATTTTATCCAATTCTCTTTCTAATAATATTTATTCATCTGTCTTATATCAAGCCGTATCTAATCTGAAACAAACTGTTTTAAAATAAAACGTTTCAGATTTGTTTCATGTAAAACATGTTGTCACAATGTTTTGCATGATAGTTTTTTTTAAACATCGTCCTGTCCAAAGTCAAAACGTACCATGAAATTAACAAAATATGACTATAATCACGCAACACCCATTATCATCATTATCTAATTTCAAGTGCGTGAAAAAGCCCTACGAAGATTTTAATACGCGACCACTTTGTCCGAAACGTTCAATAATTGATTTAAAAATGCCAAAGGCCCTGCGTACGAGGCAATTAAAATATCTGAGCGTTTTTTTGCAGGAACTTTTGGAGCAGCTATTCAAGCTATTCGACCAGGACAGAGATCAGTGTTTACCTCAGGAGAACTGGATTGAATTCCTAAAGCAGCGATTAACGTGAGTGGTTTATGTATGATATGCCTTCAATATAACTAACTATAGGGCGTTTTTTATGTTGTTCAATTATTTTTTCAGGGATGAAAAGCAAATAGACTTTGCGGAGCAACTGGAGAGCGTGGCGTTTTGTCTATGCGGTGAAAAACCGATATATTTAGAACAATTTTACCAAATATTCAATGCTAAGGGCGTAAGTACTACAGTATATACAGGATGTGCTAGAAATAGGAAACAAAATTTTACCCTAGCAAAAGTTGTTGTTTTCGACAAGTGGTTAAATTTTTGGAATTTATTTCTGCTTATGCTTTTCTAAAATTATCGCTAAACAGTCAGTTTTACATTTATATACATACATTTTTCTTGATATTTTAAAAATGTAGAGGGATTGCGTACTAATCTATCTTTTTGCAGATAGTAGATAAATTATTTAGACTAATCGATCAAGATAATTCTGGGGTAGTCACGTCAGAGAAGATAATGGAGTTTCTAGCATCAATATCCAACACCAGGTGAGTGCTATGCCATAAAAACAACAACAAGAAGGATAAAGTGATGTTCAGAACAGAATATTTCAATTATGATAATACCTCGAGAGGTATTTCTGCGAGATGAGTTACCGGCCTATTACTATCATGTCATTACATCACTGAATGCTCAGCTTTGACATATTAAGTTATTCTGATGCATTGTATGCACATAAATTATAGACTTCGTGTTGTATGTTACATTATAATAATATAAATAGTATTTAGATGTAGAATTAAACAAAAATCGCGTTATTTTTTATTTAGACCAAGAACTGGATTCGATAAAGGTAGTTTGGACCGACTGGAACAGCTCTTCAGACAGACCGTGGGGAATGAAAAAGAAATACGCAAAGAAGACTTCAAGAAAATTGTTATCTCAAAAAATGTAAGTTAATAAGAATCTGGAGGAATATTCCCTTCTTGCCGTTTCTCAAATTCCTATGATAACTTATGTACAACACTTTTTAGCCCTTTTTCACAGACAGGGTATTCCAAATCTTCGACAAAGACAACTCGGGTTCCATATCCCTACAAGAATTCTTGGACGCGATGCACCAGTTCGCTGGTCAGTCGCCGGACGACAAAATCAAGTTCCTCTTCAAAGTGTACGACTTGGACGGTAATTTTTTCCAGCTTTTTTTGCTTAAAAGCGTCTAAAACAATCTTAACGTACAGGTGATGGTCTGATTCAGCACAAGGAACTACAGCACGTTATGAGGGCCTGTATGGAGGAAAACGGGATGAAATTCAGTGAGGAGCAGATAGTTGATTTGACGGTAGCCATGTTCGAAGACGCCGATACCAATAATAGAGGCGCCATTACCTACGAGGCTCTCAAGAATCAGCTTGAGAAGCATGGAGGTCTTCTAGAAAATTTAACTATAAGGTAAGTTATGTTTTGGTGTCATTGATAACATCCTCATAGTGAGTATCTCCGGCAATCCTAAAATGTTAGGTAATTATTGAAATCCGAATTTCCCTTTCAGCATTGATCGATGGCTGGTACCACCAAAACCGAAAGCACCCCCTACCTCCATCATAGGAAGGATCATGTCCTATCGCCCTTACCAACTCACGCTGCCCTACGTGAAGAACAACTACGTTTATCTAATATTCTTGTGTTTTTTCCTGATAGTCAACGCGTCGCTGTTCATTTCTAGGGCGGTAGAGTACAGGAATTCGAACTGGTACACGATATTCGCCAGAGCGTGTGGTAAGTACAAACAACGCAATTTTTTCAAAGTGTAACGTTCTTACAATCATTTATTCCCATGCTGCTGTTTGGACACCGTAAGAAGTAACTAAATAAACGACTTCAACGATATTTAACGGTAATTCTTTTCAGGACAGTGTCTGAACTTTAACTGTATGTTCATCCTGGTCCTGATGCTGCGGCAGTGCATAACGTTTCTAAGGACCAGGGGGTTCAGTTCCGTCTTACCTCTCGACCAACACATTTACTTCCACAAGCTGACCGGTATGTTCATTTTCGGCTACAGCTTTCTACACACCGTGATGCACGTGTGCAACTTCAGTAAGTGATTTGTGAGTTGAGCAAAATGTTTTAAGGAAATGAAACAATGTTTTGCAGGTCTTGTCATCGTGAATGACCCTATGCTTAACGCCAAGAACTTCACGACGACCGAGTGGTTGTTAACCAGCAAACCGGGGTTGTTCGGGCTGATCGGGGGCTTGGCGAACCCCACGGGTGTTGCCCTTTTCGTGATACTCTGTGTCATGTTCGTTTGCTCGCAAGCGTTTGTTCGACGAGGCGGTTGCTTTGAGGTACCAGTAAAGTCGTGTTTATCTTTGATTGTTCCACTTGACAAATCCACTTTTAGATCTTCTACTACACCCATCTGATGTACGTGCCGTTTTGGATTCTTCTAATTCTGCATGGTCCGAACTTTTGGAAATGGTTCATCATCCCGGGGGTAGCTTATGGTTTGGAGAGGGCCTACAGGTCGACTTTCATAGTGACCGAACGAGGCAAGACTTACATCAGTTCCGGGTTGCTCCTGCCGTCTAAAGTCACGCATTTGGTCATAAAGAGACCCATCCAGTTCGATTTCCATCCGGGTGATTACGTTTTCGTTAACATACCGGCTATAGCCAAGTACGAGTGGCATCCTTTCACCATCAGCAGCGCTCCCGAACAAGAAGGTAAGTTGAGGGATACTTGGCAACTTGGAACAAACATTAACTATTTCAGATTACATGTGGTTGCACATCAGGGCGGTTGGTCAATGGACCAACAGGCTCTACGAGTACTTCGAGAAAGAACAAGAAAAACTCCACAACGGCGAGATATCGCCCTTAACCTCGCCCCCGAAGAAAAGGCTGTCCAACGGAAGCATAGAGAACAACAACCAGAGCCCATTGAAGAAGCTCCAGGCCACCATCACCAGGACCCTTTCGAATAGAGACGCGAACAAGAAGCCGGTGGTTCAACTGGTGGGATTTTCCAATGAGAACTTCAGGAACGACGAAGCAGACCGTCCCACGGCAGTCAGCGAAACGGACTTGACGGCGAAGGCTTCGTGCAGTTCCTCAGGTTCATGCCCCTTTCCAATATTAAAGACGATTTTCAGTCTGAAAGCCTTTTTTTTAGACTTACCACATTCCAGACCGACGAAGCTAGCGCTGACGCCGGAAAACAAGTTTCGCAGGTTGCTCTTCACCAACAAGGCGCCGTTGGAAAAGTCGCTTTCCATGCCCGACATGCAAACCAAGGCGAAGAAACGGGAGAGGATGCTCGTGTAAGTAAATTAATGTAATTATTTGTGGAAGCGTAAGTCGTATGTTTGTAGTTTGCGCGAGTATATGAGATCGGAGTCGGAGAAGAGCTTCAATGAATGCCAGATGAAGAGAGCCAGGTTCAAATCGCTGGGCTTGGCGTATCTGAGTCCTCAGAACAAGAGTTTGGCCCAAAGCTTCCGGTACATGAGGAACAAGCCGACTATAATAGCGTTCAAGACGCCCAGTCTGGAGAATTGCGAGCAGAGGGAGTCCAGCCATTCGCTTGGTACGTTTGCAATGACAAAGTCGATGGTGACCTTGGATTTGACCTTCACAAGGTGCAAGGTCAAACTAAGGTCAAGTTAGTAACAAATGGAATACACTATTTTTGTGTCAGCACCGACCAAATTTTATGTCGAGATCTGGGATCAAAGAATTTTTCAAAGATGACCTTGCGGGTTATTTCAAGGTCAAAGTCATTTTTCATAATAAATAATGGATATAACAGTAATCGAATTTAATAAACGTATTCAACTAAAACTATTAGTATGATTTTGATATTAATTTTGAAATTTAACCCTACAAGTATTACTTGAAACATTTTTGTCAAGTTATTCGGAGAGAAAAGAGATTGACACACAATTTTCCGATCCCATATTCGGACGCTCTATTGCTTGCTGACAACAAAAATAGGGTGTCACATAATATTTTCAAGTTAACCTTGGTTTGCCCTTGAATCTGAAGGTCAAGGTCAAATTAAAGGTCACCAGCTTATTGGTTTCTTGATATCTGAGGATTCCGGTTTTTTTATGATATACTGTATATAAACTCTGCAAAAAAATTAAAGGAGCAGTTTTTTATGATTTTTGAAAGGCTGTAACTTTGTAAATAATGGTCGCATAGAGAAAAAAAAGAAACTTCTTCAAGATTGAGGGTTCTAGTTTTGAAATCTTGTGATGAAAAATTTTTTTCGGCGCAATCAAAGGAGATAATGCAAGGCAAAAATTTTACAATTTTTTTTTATTTCAAAACTGCTTATGGGCTCAGAAAAAAATTTCTGGTGGTATCCAAAACCTTTAATTTAGAGAACTTTGCATCTAGGTCGGCAGATCAGCTCCTTGAGCTTCACGTTGAGTCCGGAAAGGCAAGCTGAGGAGGGTTTGCTGGGTATCCAGGAAGCCTCGTCGTCTCCAAAGGCGAGCCCCATAAAGGCGGTGAATTACCCCGTGGGGAAACCTCTCGAGGTAGGTTATACGAGTACTTTTGCATTTTTAAATGTTTATAACGTTTTGGTCAGTAGCCAATCATTGAAAAAGTCATCCCTCACCACAACCAATGCGAATTGGTCGAAGACGTCAATATAAAGTTCTCGAACTGTGAAGGGACAGAGGTGAAAGTCAGATCAGTGTTGTTTTATTTACGTCAGTTGTAACATGTAACAGGAATGTTTCATTTTAATGTCTAAATGTACGGGGTGATTTATTGAAACCTGGGAATATTTTATTTTCGATTTGTGTCTTAATTCTCAGTAATTGGGAAGAATCATGTAGACACTCGCCAATGGTTTTTTAATTAAGAGGACTCTATAGCAAATTGCCAACGATCAATACATTTTTATAGATTTTATTACAGTTTGTCTAAATATGTATTAACGCACAAATAACAGACTTTCCTCCACTCTAACGCAGATTTTCTATAAAATGGACTTAGTTTTAAACTCAAATTACTTTTTGTTGTAAAAAAATTTGTAATTTGTCAACAAGCGATATCGTAAATTACAAATTTCTTTACACCAAAAAGTAATTTGAGTCTCAAATTAACTCCATTTTACAGAAAATCTGCTTTAGAATGGAGGAAAGTCTGTTATTTGTGCATTGATTCATATTTAGACAAACTGTATAATAAAATCTATAAAAATGTATTACTGGTTGCCTATTTGTTATAGAGCCTTCTTAATTTAGTTCAATAACTTGGCTGGTAAATATAAACAATTAAATAAGGTTGTTGTGATAAAAACATGTAACAAAGGAAACTTTGGCTTCTTAAGAATATTGTGATTAAATAATATATGGTCATGGTATAGAAAATTTTGCATGAAAACCACCAATAAGAACTTGTAGCTCGCATATAATGGACAAATCTTAGGAATCTATTTTTATAATGTGCCTCTTTGTTACTTATGGTGTGCCCCTTAAATTTGGGTTGACTGATCAATACATATAAGGTCTTGAAGTGTGCATTTAGGCAAGACCTTTCGGGTAAAATGTAGCCCTCTGAAAAATACTATATGGCGCATCAAATATGGCGTCCAAAAATGACTTGTCATGGCGTAACCTAATTGGACAAGCACACCTTCTCATCGATTTTCGGGGTTTTGAAATATATATGCCTCACAACTTAATAGATGGGGGAAAAGCGATATCCGCAAGGTACAAAAACTATGTAAATATTTAGTGAGCGATTTTTTCAGGATAGTTGATGAGCAAGTCCATCTGTGGCTCAAAAATGGGTTAAAAAGAGCTTGTGTCCGCCATCTTGGATCCGCCATTTTGAATTTTGAAATGTCGATGCTAACGTAGGGTTCAGAGACCCCAAATACCCTCAGCCGGTATTTTAAATTGTCTCAAAATATTCGCTGCGGCAAAGTGGTTCAAATGGTGATAATAATATCCACCATTTTAGATCCGCCATTTTGGAATATCGAATCTTAATGGTGGATTCTTAATTAGTGGTCTTAGAATCACTATTAGACACAATTTTGTTGCATATTTTACAAATTTGAAATTTTACAATCGTTTTTATTTAATATGTCATTTTCGAAAGCCTTATTTGATGCGCCACATTGTATTTTTCAGAGGGGCACATTTTTTCCAAAAGGTCTTGCCTAGACGAACATTTTAAGACCTGATCCGTCTTAATAATCAGTCGAGCCAAATTTTGTGAGCACTTGTGATCCGGTCGACATGAAATGTCCCATATATTTTTTTTGTGTAGTTCTTTTTGCCTCTTCTATTAACATTAAATCACCCTGTATATCTATTTTACTGCCTCTGCATAATTTAACCAAAACCAAATATTAATTAGATGTTATTTCTTACTATAATTTAACAAAACTAAGTAATCTTAAATGTGTGCATATATTGAACAGCCGTACAGTTTATTGTATAGAAACACAAGGTGTTCAAGAAAGACCCGAACCTCCCCGATAACTTTTCAAGATTAATTTTGGATAAAAAAAAATTTTTAACTGGTGTGACTTGGTTTATTAAAAACAATATTTACACATTTACGATTTACTTCATATATTAAATGTTGTTTCTTCATCCAGATCTAATTTTTTTTATTACTTACTGAGAATAATCAAATTAAATCGTCAGATGGCGATGCTTAGAGAAAAAATTCACTCAGCATTACGGCGTTAAGTCCTAACATGTGATTTAGAGTTAAAGACCGCTTTCCTAACCAGACTTTGACCTGCGTTTACAGATATATCTGGACGGGCCCTACGGAGCACCGTCCAGCCACATATTCCGGGCGCAACACGCCGTGCTCATAGCCACCGGAATCGGAGTAACACCGTTCGCCTCCATTTTACAGTCCATAATGCACCGGTACTGGAAAGCGAGACACACCTGTCCCAGATGCAAGTTTTCCTGGGCCAGCGAAATACCAGCCACCATCATGAACCTCAGGAAGGTAAAATATTTGCTACTTTCGAGTTCTCGTCACTAATGTCTGTTTAGGTGGACTTCTTCTGGATCAACAGGGACCAGAGGTCTTTCGAGTGGTTCGTCAACCTGCTGTCTCAGTTGGAGATCGAGCAGGCCGAGCTTGGCGGGGCCATGGAGAGGTTCCTGGAGATGCACATGTATATAACCAGCGCCCTGCAGAAAACGGACATGAAAGCTGTCGGGCTTCAGCTGGCACTGGATCTGTTACATGAAAAGGTAAAAAGGGGTAATTTTTACCATTTCTCGTTTTTTTTTCAGTTCCCAGCTTAGGCGTTTCCTTTCGTGTCATGTACGTGCAACTACTCTTTGAAGTAATATTTATGTTTTCAGGAAAAACGGGACCTGATAACAGGTCTAAAGACCCGCACCAACGCGGGCCGCCCGAACTGGGACAAAGTATTCAAGCACATCTCGGATCAAAAGAAAGGTAAGGTAACGATATTCTATTGCGGTCCTCCTCATTTAGCAAGAATATTGCGTATGAAAAGTGACCTGTACGGCTTTAGTTTCCGGAAAGAAACGTTCTAGTATGCGCTCTCTGTGTTTATATTGTATAGTATTTATTTTCCCCAAGTAGATATTTATTTTTATTTGTACTATAGTGTAATTATAGCGTAAAATACTTCTAGTTTCTTTTTTAAATAACGTCTTAGTGCTGTAGTCTATTTTTTTATGTATATATTTTAGCACCCTCTTAGCTGTACACTGTTTCAGTCTCGGACCCACTTATATTTTATTTTAACCACTTCTTTATGTAACTGAAAATAGTTTCGCGGTTATGGTATTTCATTTCAAGCTATTATTAACCGAAGTATGATTTTCTATGTAGGATTTTATTAAATAAATATTGTTACTTAACGTTTGTTTTATTTTTTGATCTCCTTATTTGTTCCCTTAGTATTGATGCATACGCTAGGAAGAGAGAAATAAAAAGACAAATTTCTTATGCAAAGAAAGACATAAAAAAACAGGAAGAGAAGAATGTTTCCAATTAGTGTTAACGTTTTATTTTGTTTGGTGAGTATTCCCCAAAGAAAACACAAATAAAACTCATTTCACACTGTCGTCAAATTAATACATTTTAAATTTTATTACTCGAATTGGATGTTAAATAATTCCGGATTAAATATAAATAAAGATACAACTGAACCACAAAATCATAGATTTGACAGAGAAAAAGGAACCAAATTTATGCTTCATCTCACTTTATGAATGAAAAAATAGAAAGTTTCCGGTAATATTCTACAAGTTAATCTTAAAACCACAGTTCCGGCATGAAGCCGTTTGATGGCGCTATAGCATGAACTTTTCAAAACACTCATAGGATCCATCTGTATTTTTTCTCTATGGTACTTGCTTATCAAGTGCAACTAACTTCATTTTGCATCATAGATCTATAAACTATGGACTAGCCCTAGAAAGAGAGGTCAATCGCGCTGATGTGTGCAAGGCAGATGAAGCTAGTGCAGGCAAATACCGGTGAAACAAATAACGGTACAAAAAAAACGTAAAAAAGCCTTCGAGTAAAAGATTTCTTAAATTTCTGTGTGTGATTTAGTGTATATCAAATATTAGTGAAAACTAAATATAGTGTAATTGTGTTCAGCGATCAGTTGTGTCATAGTTGCGTAAAGAGATGTTTAAGTGGAGAAAAATTTAAATTTTATAGGTAAGAGAGACGATACCAACATGTTTATAGTTTCTGAAAATAATTATCCAGTTGTTGATGACAACTTATTAGTTTATATTTTTTTCGCATCCTCAAAATAAGATGTCATTTTAACGTCAAAATTTTGCCCCCTTGCATGTGTCACTCTTCGAATTATTTTTTAACATCAAACTGAATATAAATAAACAGTTTCAACCGAATTGTGCTTATAATGTGCTTTAGCAAAAATTCTCTTTAAATAAAATGTCAAACAAACATATAGTTTCATTTTATGCAGTTTTGCAAAGCAAGTAAATATGAACTATTTAAAACAACTACGTCAGAAGAGCTTGCAGTAATTTTAACTGATCGAGCTTACGGTATGAGGAAATTAAATGGAGAAATACATAAACAAGGCATTATAAAAACTATTTGAAAAATTGTAACCATGAATATTTTTTTAAATATGTGTAGAATATTTAATTTTAAATTTCTAATTATTAGATTCATCCTACAATACCGCCAACTTATACAGAAATTTCATATAAAATGGTGCTTATGCTCTTATTATTCACAATATTAATTAATTAAAATACGGTAAGGAATCGTGTATGGCTAGCTGATTGGTTGAAGTGTAGCGCGTCATAGTTGAAGTTCTGTCAACGAAGCATTAGCCTACAGTAGTTGTATCTCTCTCTCGCAAAATGACGGTTGGGCGAGTCCAGTAGTTTATAAGGTCTATGATTAGAAGGTTTGCACTATTTTATGTTTTATCTCACTTCATTATGAATGTTGAAAAAATAGAAAATCGAGCATTAACACAGTCTCCGATAATAGCTCCATCTATAATTTTTTCTACACATTAATGTTTAAAACGATAGTTCTAGCGGGAAGCCCCTTGATGGCGCTGTAGCAGAACTTCTCAAAATACTCATGGCGCATCTGTATGTTTTCTCTATGGTAAATTCACACTTCACACATAGGCCACACGTAATACGTTGGCGTTATGATTTTTTCATAAGCAACGAGCAACTAACTTCATTTTGCATCTGAAATAAAGTTAGGTTATGCATGGATGAGCTTATGGCTTTGAGTAATAATCTTTTGAAACTCTCAACTGCCACGGCGTCTACGGTGTGGAGAGGGTAAGCTGTTGTAATAGCATAAACATTTGTAAATTAATTTTTTTGAATGGAATTATTACATAAAAATGTTCTAGATTCGCTACGATGGCAACAAACTGTAAAACACCGCGTTTAATAAGGAAAATAGGAACACACAACGGTGTTTTTCACTGCGATGAAGCGCTGGCGTGCTACATGTTGAAACAGCTACCTGATTACAGGGATGCTCAGATAATACGAACCAGAGATCCAAGCGTAAGCTTTTTTAACATTATTTGGTGTATTGACTAAAGTTCTTCAGATTTTAGAACAATGTGATGTAGTAGTGGACGTTGGGGGAGAATATAACCCGAAGACACACCGTTACGATCACCACCAAAGAGGTTTCGAACACAGCTTAAGCACCGTCCGACCTGACTTGACCAAAAATAAACACATCAAGTAAGAATTTACTACTTAAGTAGTTTATTTCTGTCACAATTAAATTGTATAACGTTTTTAGGTTAAGTTCGGCTGGTCTAGTGTATGCACATTTCGGTTTGGAGGTGTTATCGTCTATATTGAATGACGAAACTCGTGCTACCACAAGTGAATGCTTACGTTGCGTGTACCTGTTTATTTACGAGGGTTTTGTAGAGGAACTGGATGCCATCGACAACGGAATCCCCATGTATAGCGAAGGTAAACCCAGGTACAAAATAAGTACGCATTTGAGTGCAAGAGTTCACAGATTGAACCCGGAGTGGAACGCTGAAAATCCCGAATCTACCGACGAGTTATTCTACAAGGCGATGGATTTAGTCGGCAGTGAATTTAAGGAGAGGGTTTTAGAAGTGAGTGCAGTGAGTACAAAAACTTTTTAGACGTTTTGTAGTAATTTCTTCACTTTGTTTTTTAGGCTGCGAACATTTGGTGGCCCGCTAGGGAAATCGTGAGAAAAGCCATAGAAACGAGGACGCAGGTGCATAAGTCCGGGGAAATAATACTGCTCACGGAGAGGTGTCCGTGGAAGGATCACCTGCAGTCGTTGGAGGAGGAGATGGGGATCTCGGGGGAAATAAAATTCTGCATATTTCACGACAAGGGCGATTCATGGAGGGTGCAGGGCATCCCCATTCAACCCGATAGCTTCATATGCAGGTAGGTCGTGATCTTTAATTGTGATAAATTTTTTTATTTACGGTTTATTAACATTTAAAGCTTAATCGAAAATAATTCTTGTGAACATACTAAAAATTTACTATTTGTCACTGCATTTTTTTGTGTTTACGTCATATCATGTATACTGAGTGTTTGGAAACTACAAACAAAAAATTTGAATGTGGTTGTGCTCAAAAGAATAAAGATACAAGTTCTTATTACACTTTTTCTTAAACTCGGTGCTAGTGGATGTTAAAATAAGCTAACATAACCTCACAAAAAAAATAATTGTGACGTAACTTTTTTTGTCAGTCAAGCAATTTTTTTTAAGATTGAATATCAACGATAAAAAAAATCATTAAAATTCTGAAGTTTTGAAGTGATTAAATAGCTCTTGATTATTATAAAATTAATTATGTTAGGTTAGGGTTTTTCAAAAATGTAAATATTTATTTAAGATGAAAAATGAAAGGGTTGTTATAGTAATTGGCTCAAATAACAAATATTTATTTAAATTTGGCCAACTTTTAGTAACAAACAGCATTTTAATAATAAAATCGTCGAAATTCTGTCGCCGTAAAACATGTGAATAGATTTAAAATTCCTCTATTTTGTCATTGATTTATAAAGAATTGGCTCTAGTAATCGTTAGATGGCGCTAGTATTGCTACATATTGCTTTATAGTAAGTTTTGTCAAACAGCACCGATTTTCATAAAAATTTGAATTTAGGTTCTACTTATCTTCTACTTCAAAGTTGACCTTGAACCGGGGGTTGCTTTTACCTTGGAGGTGGATGCCACCCCCTTGTCAGGGGTGAAAAATGTTTTATTGAAAATGACTCCAGGAATGTATATATTGACTAATTCTAAGTAACTTTTGTTCTATAAAGTTTTTTCGACTTATTCGCGAGTGAAAGTATAAATTTTTTAACAAAAAAAAAACATTTTTTCAGACGGTTTTTCGGGAATAACTCAAAAAGTAAATATTTTATCAAAAAAATCATTCCTATAAGAAATGTAGCTTATAAAAAAACAAAAAGAATGGTGTGTTTATGGTGTCTGTAGACCCAATAAAAGCGGAGTAATAGCTTGTTGAAGGTTGGTTCTTATTCGTCAAACGCCAAAATTGAAAGTTTGAACGTGAAATAACCAAAAACCATTTTTCAGGGAATACTCATAGAACCTTTTTTAAAATGCTTGAAAAAAACCTTTATATGTTCGTAAATAGAAACTTGTTCAAGTCCTTTCAGCTCAAACCCCTACAGAAATAAGGGCTGAAAGAAAATTTAACTTATTTGATCTTATAGCCCATGAAAAACCTACAAAATGATTTTTTGAAGGGCTTGGTAGCATACAAACTAAGCGAGTTATGGGTAAAAAACCAATCACATATTTTTGCACATATCAGAACACATATGAATACACATTAAGTATAGCTATATTAGGAATAGAATACAAAAGGAAGATGAGAATGAAGAGGATTTATTTTTGATTATTTGTTATTTGCAATAAAAAATATTTTGTTATAAAAATAAAAAAATTAAAAAAATCCATATAAAAACAAAATTCTTATTTTCCCTATTTTTGATTGTAAACTTTAATCAGTAGGGTTTTTTTTTTAAGGTTTGATAAAAAAAATACATTACATTTTAAATAATAAAAAGATTGTATTATATTTTGAACTACAAAAATTTTTTAACTATAATTGTTCGATTTTTTTTGCAAGGGGTGGTTTTTATAAGGATTGAAACTTATAAATAAATAATACAAAATTGAAACAGTAAAGAAATCTTAATTTAATATCACTATATGATTAAATTATTCCAAGTTGCTGAATAATATTTCTCAACATTATTTTTTAATTATTACTGTCATAGGGGTGGTTTTTAGGGATTGACAATTTTCAATTCAACATAATGACTTATTTAAGGATGATTTCACCTATTACAGGCTCGAATCTACAATTGTATAATTATTTTCGAATAGGGGTAGTTTTCATCCCTAGAAAATAAAAAGCTGTTTGGGAAAATTATACAGTAACGACATATTTTACCTTCAATGACTGGACTAATAACAGAAATTAAGTTTCATTGATTTGCTGAAACATGAAACATAATTTTTTTTTATTATTAAATACAAGTACAATTATCAAATTACTACCAAACGATGAAAAATAGAATCATTGCAACGTGTACCACCTACCCATTAGTTTGAATACTTTTAGAAACTTTTATAATTTCCTAAAAAAATTAAGGAACAATTTAACAATTTTGTTAATTATTGAATGAGAATATAAATATTATCTGGTTTTGTAGAACATTTAGTTTTTAAATTCAATGTAAGAGGAAATTTCGTATAGGGAATTCTAAGACGTTCAATAATTTAATTAGGAATGTAAACATATTTTTAATAAAAAAAAACATTTATCAATGACCAAGATATATTTAAAAATTGGAAATTAAAAACATTTTTCTCGTATTTCCCAAAAAGATAAAGAAAAAGTGGTTTAGATGTCACAGATTCGATTTCCAAGAAAGTTAATTGGCGAAAACTGCATCCAAAATATCTTGATTAGTTTAAGAGATAGTGTTTTTCAATTTTGGCTGTTTACACGATGGTACCCTATAGCTTTGTTTGTGAATTCCGATCTTTTATAAATTGAGTTTTATTATTGTCTAAAAAGTTATAATAGCAACGAAAACTGTTGTTGAAAATAGGTCTTAAATACCTTCATTGCCTCTTTAATACGTTAATAGGGTTAAGGTAAATATTAAAATAAGTTTAATTTCTTTAATTTTTTAGAAAAGTGCCATAAAAACTTGAACCTTTATTTATGATCTAAATTTTTATAGTTTGAACTGTCATTGTTTTACATGGTGTTTTGTAGTAAACACTTTTCTGATCGAAATGAAAATGTCGCAGTTACCGTTTCATGGTAATTTTTTTTAGAGTGTTTCTGCACAAGGACTGGCGAGGCGTTAGGGACGAACAGCTCAGCAGCATCGCAGGCATTGAAGGCTGCATATTCTGCCACTCTACGGGTTTCATCGGTGGTAGTAAAACGAAAGCAGGTGCTCTCGAGATGGCCCTGAAGAGCTTGAAGGCTGCGTTGGTTGACAGGGAATAAATATGTTTGTGATTCCTTGAGTAATTTGGACAATTTCATAACCTTCGAATCTGAATATAGATAATTTTTTTGGAATTGCCCTAGAAAGAACATAATTGCTTTGTCACGTCTTAATTTTATTAAACGATAAGAACAATGCAATTTTTTATTGAATTTTTACACTTAAATCCAGAATGGTTGAATATGCCGCTCTAGAAATATTTTGTGCCGCTCTTTAGTACTGTTTATCACTACAGTTAGCTACACTGACACTAATGCTTTGTTGTCATTGGCTAGGATGGAGTAGAAAGTAATTTTGAGTAGATGGAAATTAGTTTTGATTGGTTTTATAGCACTGTGACATCAACCATTCTAGGTCACCCTGTATATTCCAATGAAACTCCCATTAATTACAACGCCATATTTTATTGTGCATACAATAATACAAGTATATACATATACACTTTTTAAACATACTTTTGGAAATATTTGGACAGAATTTAACAACAGATATTTTTTTCGAAAACGGTCAAACAGAACGATATAAACCAACGCAAGTAAACGGCAAGGGCGCAGGTCAGACGTTTTTTGAAAACGTCTTCGCCTGCGCCCTTTTTAGATTTTTATTGCATTTGTAATTCCAATGTACCAATAGATTGTCTATATTATAATGTGGTGACTTTTCGCCCGAAACTAACAATTTTTTCTTCAGTAGAAAATGCAATAAAAACGTCCCTTTATGAACACACTGTGCATGACCTTCGTCGAAAGATCTACAAATTTTATTGTATCCAAAAAAATATACGAGAAGATTTGAGCTACATATATTGACATTCGATTAAAGTTTTTTACATTTTCTTTTGATATAAAATGAGCACATCTGTATTTAAGACACCATAAATTCAAAAACGGTAGTTGATGGGTCGTTTTCACATCGTTAAATGGTGAGATATTTGGATTTTTACAACAAAATCACAATACGAGGCGTCGGAACCAAAGTGGCTGTTTTTTTTTTCAGTACAAATGAACAATTATATTTTTAATAAAAAAAAACTTATAGGTAAGTTAAAAACATTTGGTTTATGCAAAACTTTATAATCGAAACAATGATCTGACTAGAGTATTCAAGTAGTTCAAAAGAACAATAATATTTTTAATAAAATGCCTACATGTTAAGAATTAGAAGTTTATGCGAAATTTTATAATCGAAACTATAGATTTCCAATAGTTCAAATGAACAGTTATACTTTTAATAAAGAAATTTTTACACAGTTAGAAATAATTTATACAAAACTTTATGATCAGAACACAATGAACTGGCTACAGGCTTCCAGTAGTTCAAATAAACAATAACTGAATAAAATTATTGTAAGTTAGAATAGAAATTGTTTATGCAAAAGACAAATCAAAATACTGAAGTACTTATAAATTCCTAGTAGTTCAAATGAACAATATTAGTTTTACTGAATAAATTGTTACAAGTTTGAAAATAAATTAGTTTACTTACGACCACCACTGTAAATACTTAAAAACACACTGTCTGCTATCAATGTAAGATTCCTATTACGTATGGTAAAAAAATCGTACAGTTTTCCTAGCAACCGCCTAGCAACGGTCAATACAATACTCTTTGTATTTAGTATTTAAAGTAGCGGTCGTAAGTAAAATGCTTTTTACAACACTTATTACGTGATATACTATTACGCCGAAATTTGTACTCAAAACTCCAAACCGACTGTAAATTTCCAGTAGTTCAAATGAACAACAGTCTTAAAGAAATTATTGCAAAATTTGGTCTACGCGAAAGATTGTAATCAAAACACAATGACCTGAATTTCTTTTCCAGTAGTTCAAATGACCAATAAGACAATAAAAAAGTTATGAATTGATTATAGATTCCCAGTAGTTTAAAAGAACAATATTTTTAATAAAATTATTGTTAAGAATTAGAAAAAAAATAGTTAATGCGAAATTGAACCTTTTAAAAAAGTAATTAATACAATTTAAAAATAAATAATTATACAAAACTCAAAATACAATGAACTAACTGTAGATACCCAGTAGTTCAAATGGACAAATCATGCTAAATAAAAAACATGAAAAAATTTAATTTAAAACTAATTGAAACACAATGAACACCTATAGACTTGCAGTAGCTTAAATGAACAAGTATTATTTTAATGAAAAAAAATTTATAAAATTAGAAAATAATTAGTTTATGCAAAAGTTTTTAATCATAATGTAATAAACTAAATATAGGTATCCAGTAGTTCAAATGACCAATAACGTAATACAATAATTGTTATAAATTAGAAGCATTCAGTTTATGCAAGAAAGCTTTATGTTTGAAACACAATTAACCGCGTGCAGATTCCCAGTAGTTCAAATGAACAATTATAATTTTAATAACTTACAAGTTAGAAAAAAATATATGCAAAACTATGTAATCAACTAATATTAAACTGGATATATTTTCCCAGTAGTTCAAATGCACAATAACAGATTTAATGAAAAATTGTTTACAAGTCGGAATCAGTTTATGCAAAACTTTGTACTATAAATATAATGAAGTGACTACAGGTTTTGAGTAGTTCAAATGAACAATAACAGAAATTATTTAAAGTTAGAAAAAGTGTTTACACGAGATTGTATTCAGAAGTACAGTGAATTGATTATAAATTCCCTGTAGTTCAAATGAACAATTTCAGTTTTAAAAAATAAATAATTTACGCAGAAATTTGTACCCAAAACGTAACAAACTGACTATAAATTTCCAGTAGTTCAAATGAACAACACTAGTCAAAGAAATTATTGCAAGTTAGAAACTAATTTGGTCTACGCAAAAGATTGTAACCAAAACAGTGAACTGAATTTCTTTTCCAATAGATCAAATCACCAATAATGCTTTGAATAAGAAATGTAGTTATGACTTATTCCAATTAGTTCAAATGCACAATTACTATTTTAATGAAAAAATTGTTACAAGTCGGAAAACAAATCAGTTTATGCAACACTTTGTACTCAAAACACAATGAACTGACTACAGGTTTTCAGTAGTTCAAATGAACAATAACATTTGGAAATTATTAGAAAAAAATTGTCTACGCAAAAGATTGTTTCAAAACACAGCGAACTGATTATAAATTCCCAGTAGCTCGAATGAACAAGTATTATTTTAATGAAAAAAAATTCAAAAATTTGAAAAAAATTAGTTTATGCAAGTTTTTAATCATAATGTAATGAACTAAATATAGACTTCCAGTAGTTCAAATGAACAATTGTAATTTTAATTGACTTAAGAGTTAGAAATAAATTAGCTTATGCAAAACTATGTCATCAAATAATATTAAACGGATATATATTCCCAGTAGTTCAAATGCACAAAAACAGATTTAATGAAAAATGTTACACGTCATCAGTTTATGCAAAACTTTGTACTAAAAATACAATGAAGTGACTACAGGTTCTCAGTAGTTCAAAGGAACAATAACACAAATTATTGTAAGTTAGAAAAAATGTTTACGCAAGATTGTAATCAAAAGTGCATTGAATTGATTATAAATTCCCAGTAGTTCAAATGAACAATTTCAGTATAATGAATAAATTGTTACAAGTTGGAAAATAAATTAATTTACGCAGAAATTTGTACTCAAAACAACAAACTGACTATAAATTTCCAGTAGTTCAAATAAACAACACGTCAAAGATTGTAACCAAAATAGTGATCTGAAATTTTTTTCTAGTAGATCAAATCACCAATAAGAATAAGAAATGTAGTAATGACTTATTCCAAGTAGTTCAAATGCACATGAATAAAATGATGCACGAATGAAATGAAAAAATTGTTAAAAGTCGGAAAACATATCAGTATGCAAAACTTGGTACTCAAAACACAATGAACTGACTACAGGCTTTCAGTAGTTCAAATGAACATTAACAGGAATTATTGTTAGAAAAAAATTGTTTACGCAGAAGATTGTTTCAAAACACAGCGAACTGATTATAAATTCCTAGTAGTTCAAATGAACAATATTAGATTTAGTGAATAAATTGTTACAAATTAGCAAATAAATTAGTTTACGGAGAAATTTGTACTCAAAATATAACAAAATGACTGTAAATTTGCAGTAGTTCAAATGAACAATTATATTTTGAATGAAAAAAACCGTTATAGGTAAGTTAAAAACATTTGGTTTATGCAAAACTTTATAATCGAAACAATGATCTGACTAGAGCATTCAAGTAGTTCAAAAGAACAATAATATTTTTAATAAAATGCCTACATGTTAAGAATTAGAAGTTTATGCGAAATTTTATAATCGAAACTATAGATTTCCAATAGTTCAAATGAACAGTTATACTTTTAATAAAGAAATTTTTACACAGTTAGAAATAATTTATACAAAACTTTATGATCAGAACACAATGAACTGGCTACAGGCTTCCAGTAGTTCAAATAAACAATAACTGAATAAAATTATTGTAAGTTAGAATAGAAATTGTTTATGCAAAAGACAAATCAAAATACTGAAGTACTTATAAATTCCTAGTAGTTCAAATGAACAATATTAGTTTTACTGAATAAATTGTTACAAGTTTGAAAATAAATTAGTTTACTTACGACCACCACTGTAAATACTTAAAAACACACTGTCTGCTATCAATGTAAGATTCCTATTAAGTATGGTAAAAAAATCGTACAGTTTTCCTAGCAACCGCCTAGCAACGGTCAATACAATACTCTTTGTATTTAGTATTTAAAGTAGTGGTCGTAGGTAAAATGCTTTTTACAACACTTATTACGTAATATACTATTACGCCGAAATTTGTACTCAAAACTCCAAACCGACTGTAAATTTCCAGTAGTTCAAATGAACAACAGTCTTAAAGAAATTATTGCAAAATTTGGTCTACGCGAAAGATTGTAATCAAAACACAATAACCTGAATTTCTTTTCCAGTAGTTCAAATGACCAATAAGACAATAAAAAAGTTATGAATTGATTATAGATTCCCAGTAGTTTAAAAGAACAATATTTTTAATAAAATTATTGTTAAGAATTAGAAAAAAAATAGTTAATGCGAAATTGAACCTTTTAAAAAAGTAATTAATACAATTTAAAAATAAATAATTATACAAAACTCAAAATACAATGAA